GACCATTGGATGCCATATATATATATATATATATATATATATATATATATATATATATATATATATATATATATGATTTAAGTATGCAAATCTTAATCAACATTAATGAATAGTGTTGATATTTTTATAGTTTATTCTAACAAACTCGGTAAAAGTTATTTTGATTTAATTTTGTAAATATTCTTATATTTTATAGCAAAATTAAAAGGCTGTTATTTTAATTTTGTAAATATTCTTATATTTTATAGCAAAATTAAAAGGCTGTTATTTTAATTTTGTAAATATTCTTATATTTTATAGCAAAATTAAAAGGCTGTTATTTTTTGCCGCAAACTTTTTTTTGTTGCCTCTTTTCATACATACACACACATATATGCACATATACACATACACATATATATATGTTTCATACACACACACACACACACACACAAATATATATATATATATATATATATATATATATATATATATATATATATATATATCGGTTACCCCCATGTAATCATGCATAGCCATCTCACGAATTAATTGTTTTAGAATCGAAAATGACATTTTTGCGCAAGCGATAACTGACATCTATTTCCGAAAGTCTTACATTCATTAGTTGCATTTGAATCAACAGCAGCACCCAGCAATCGATCTGAAGCAGTTCCAGAGCACTGCATCAATAATACTGCTAATCATCATAAATAGGAGACAATGAGCAAACCTCTACTTCTGTTCAAAGGAACGGGAGGAGTGTAAACCGGACGATAGGCGAAGCTATTTACTCTTTTGATGAAAAAATGATATATATATATATATATATATATATATATATATATATATATATATATATATGAATTAAATAAATAAACAAGTAATCATGCAGGCATGTGATCACGCGCATATATAAATTTACAAATAAATATCTTTAATTTTCGGTGTTAACAAAACAGTGCTCAATATTATATAAAGTATATATTAATAAATATACATATTACCTTACGTCGAAAGTGCTTTCAACGTAAGGTAATATGTATATTTATTAATATATGTGTGTGTGTGTGTGTGTGTTTTAGCTGAAACATTTCTAACAGAACAATTGCAATTTTGAACATGATAAAGCAGCCGGAAGTTCAATCTTACCTCATCTCTATTCGAAGCACATTAAGCCCATTCGTTTCAACTCTAATTCCATTGTTCTATTCAATCATTCCGAATTGTTGTTATCTAGAAAAGCGTTTGAGGAAAAAGTCAGTCATTTCTATTTGCATAACTTCAAGGAAAAATTGGTTTCTAAATTCGGCAATCGAAGAAGTCCAAGCGCGAAGAAAGAAACAAAAAGATTTGATTTAATTAGGAGACTCTGAATAAAAACACTGTCGATAACTGTTAGTTAGTCGAATATGATTTTTTTTATTAAAAGCTTTAGGCCGTGTTCTCATGCGTTCAGTAATTTTATTGGGTGCGAATAGCAATAGACGAGAAATATCGGCGCTGACATCTCAAATTCTTAATTTAAAAATGCTAAATAAATTCTGTGTTCTTGCAAGAGACGGCATGGTCCTCGAATGTATTGTGATTTGTAATCTTAATTAATAGTCGACCTGGATAATGAACGTGGCACGTTTTCGGTGCTCGGATATTCAGAATAATGCTTTTTAATCGATAAATCTGATAAATAGGAATTAATAAACTGGATGGGATTATTAAATGATCACGTGAGGAATCGGAAAATTTCCAGAATAAATAAATAAATAAATAAATAAACGTCTCCACTTCTATTAGTGTAGCTAAAAAAGTCATCGTTGCTTTGTCTCAAAAACGAAGGCTGGGAATACTTTGTAGTAAATAAAACCCCAAATAAATGAATAAATAAATAAAAAAATACACAAGAATATCAATAAACAAATTTGGCGAAAGTGAGATTACCTCCCTTGATTAGGGTCACGCGGAACGGCGATGAAACAAATAGCGCATTTTCAAAAATCTTTCTCTCTTCTCATTTTTCTGTTTTTTTTTTTTTTTTTTTGTTTTACCCAAAGCAAGGCGATGATGCCACTAATGGGCTACTGGGAGTTATAGAGAATTAAAAGACTCTATAAGGAACCGGAAACCTAATCCTAAACAGTAAACAAGAGATAAGCTTCCCGTTCAAAAGACCAGCGGAGGAGTGTGAACCGAACGAGCGGCAAACCTAATCTACTCCTATTGAGAAAGGAAAAAATAGTAATAATTACAGTATGACATTTCAGATTTCAGGCGGAGACGTCAGAAGTACAGAGTTGAAGAAACCGCAAACCGAACCGGGAGGAGCGTGAACCGGACAATAAGTGAACTTATTTAAAACAAACAGAGCTACATGCCCAGCATGTAAGTAGTTTTGCCGCCAAACACTTAAAAGCACACACACGCATACACACACGCGCGCATACACACATACTCACACGCACATACGCACACACACATATACGTACACTCATACACACATAAGCACACTCATACGCACTGTTTCCAAAAGTTTTAATTCTTGTAAAAATACATTGTTATTTTAAACCATGACATGTCTGTTTATTTGTTCGTCATTTACATGGGTTTACGGGATTCTAATGGATAACCACTTGGAATTGGAATTCGGATATCCGAGTTCTAATTCCAGTCGCGTTCGTTAAATCCACTTAGGCGCATATTCCCTTCGGGACGTTAAAAATACATATCTTCTATTCCCAACTAAGAGTTAATTAGTAGGACTTGTATTAATAAATCATTTATTATTCCCCAAAGATTCTTACATTCTAAAAATATTTTCTTGTTTTAAATATCCTGCAAAAGGTTGATAAGTCATAAAAAAAATAACAAATCAATTACTCACTCAACACATATGTTACGCTTTGACATTACTCCAGTTAAATAAAAGACCATTCCTGTTTTGATTGCAAGGATAGACATGTTCCCTACCCAAAAAACGAAACAAAAATATATATCAAAGGCGCTGCTTGAGTTTAGGAAATGGAAGTGAAAAGAAATAAAGAATGAATGAAATAAAAGTAAAAAAGAGAAGAGAAAATGAAAAGATAAAGGAAGTGATAACACTCATATGCGTTTAACGTCTGCTTCAGTGAAATGGAAAATCTTATCAATTTTGAATATTTTCATTTGTACCCTCTTACTTCTTTAAATGATGACCTGCATTCAAATTTACGTCACTGTAATATTTTGCTAAAGTTGTTGACCTGAAATATTTACGTTTATCAAGGCAAATGTAAGGATTTTATGCAACTGGATTTTATAAACAGAAGTAAAAATGTTAGAATCTTAAATTTAAGAACCCTCTGGGTGAGATTTTAAAAATTCAACCGGAAATGTCTGAGTGTTTCATTTCTTTATTGTATTTTCAGAATTTTCAAATAAATTGTTGCACATATAAATACAAATTTTTAATAAATGCCTCACGGTTAATGTTTCCAGATGGTGTTTGTTCCAGTATAATTTAGAAAATTTTGGGAACTTTAGAATTAAAATTCACTACAAATATACACATATCTTACAAAGGATTTCAAGTGTAAATCGGTTTCTTTTGTATTATAATAGCTTCAAGTATGCTGAGTTTTCTTTACATAACGTGCTATATACACATATTTGAACTGAATTCGAATTGTACCCTTCACTAAAAATGCCAAGATATAGTCAACAAAATGTCTTCCACCACTCTGTAAACACTACTGACGTTGGTTGTGATGGTCGAAAATGCTCCATCAAAAATAGATGAATATCCGTGGGGATTCTATAGCCATGGAACTCGCAAGAATATTATTCAGCCATTAATTTAAACATTAAAATTCATTAAAAAATTCGGATAGGAAATTTGTAAAATGTTCACAGTTATTGCCAGTTTATAGTAATCTGATTGGATTCCAATGGCGGCGAAAAAAAATTAATCCAAACCCCATTTGATTAGAACAAAATCAACATGTGTTTTAACTAGGGGAAGTCGGAGAATTATCGTGTCAGAAATACGTGACATTGTTTACATAAATAAACCAGACATCGTCCCCTCGTTCGATGCAAGCCATACGAAACGTGTAGAAACCTCGTTTTCATCTTCTTTCTTCCAACTTTATTTTTATCGTGATACTGAGATATTGAAATCTAAGTCAAAGTTGAAATTTGTTATCATCAAATGAAAAGCGCAGTCGCCACGTATGTCATTAGTAATATAGAGTTTAAGAGTTCGAGTCCAAGAGTTTACCATTATGTAGATGCCACGGTAGTCTTCAGGAATTAAATGAATTTGTTATATATCGGCAATTTATTTACGCTTCTTCTTTATCAGTTGCTAGCAGTAGAGCCCGGGGATGTAACAGTAAGAGATAGATCAAGTATCAACCATCATAAAGACTGAAAAATAAAATTGACAAAGATTATTGTTTAAGGTTAACGGACACGCATGTCTTAATTAGTTTTTTTTTTTTTTTTTACGAATTGGTCAAACCCAAACTCAAACAAAAACATTGTTTTCAATCGGTATGAGTCTACCGATTGAATAGAATTTTATTATAAACAATTGTCTTGTAAATGGAATTTTTAAAGCATTTTGAATGTAAAAATAAAGAAAAAAAGTGTGCAAGACAATAAGAAACACTACCTGCTAAAAAAAAAGTGAAGTTTTGTTGAAATTGGTTGAAAAATATAGAAAATTCAATCCCATATATAAATGAACACACAGACACAAAAACAACCTGGGTTTTATAATAAGTATAACTAGATATGAGTTGTCCCCCTTTCATTCTCGCGATTAATGGTGTTTTAAAATGATTTTGTGCCAAAACAATTGTGTTTTTCCAATTTTGGGTGCTGCCTGAACCACCGCAAGGTAATTTTACGCAGTCCTGTGAAGTTTTGTTGAAATCGGTTGAAAAATGTAGGAAATCCGATCCAATATATAAACGCACACACACACACACACACACACACACACACACACAATCTGCGTTTTATAATAAGTAAGATGTGGTTTACGGCCATATCACATTGAAACAGCGGTTCTCAAACGATCATCGAAGTTAAGCAACGTTGAGCTTGATCAGCACCTAGATGGGTGACCGTCTGGGAATACAAGATATTATAAGCGTGGATGCTCGGGTGGTGTAATGGATAATGGCTCGGAGTTGTTAATCGGAGAGAGGAGTTCCAATTCCAGTTGGGTTCGTTATATTCACTTACGCCCAAATGCCATTGGGAAAGGTATGAATCTATTGTGGATTCCAGGTTGAAATCCGGTACCAATAAATAACAAACGCCAGGAATGAATATATGAAAATAATGTATTAACGTAATAATACAAACTGGTAAAGCAGGTTAGTAGTTCCAGGAATACGGGTTAGTAGCAAAATATATATACAGTCTTTGGTATTGAAGTATCGCTGTATGACTTCTTACTGAGTCTACGTGCTCGCTCACTGTGACTCCTACAACGCTGTTACGTCACCCTCACTCTTCCGGTTACCTACAACCTTTTACTCTGTCACTCTGGACTCGACTCGACGGTCTTGCTCTCTCGGGTCTTCACTGGAAGTAGTATAAGTATACACTGGGTGAGTCCATTTGTATAAAAAGGGGAGGACCCCTCAACAAAATCTACATCTTCTCCCTCCAGCTATAGGTTAATTTCTAAGACTTTATCTTTATTATCTCGAAAACCTGTTTATACAATATTCTCTCGCCAAAAAATATTATTATTCTTACAATTCCAAAATCCGTGTTGACTTTAAATAAGCAAGGTTGAAAAGTCACTAAAAACAGCCCAGTCAATCAATCAAGATGGACTCACACGTCGTTTTCAATGAATGAGGGTTCCACTTGGGTTTGTGCTTTCGAAGACTTTAGAGCGGTGTTTAGTCATCTGCCTTGTAACTAGTTGAGCTTATATCAGTAAAAATACTTATCTTACAATCTTAAACTTTTTTTTATAGTTTTGAATAACCTGCAAAAGGTTAATAAGCCGTAAAACACAAAAAATCGACCAATCATTTATAAATTAAGCAGTTTTCTCTCAAATCTGCACATCTTCGCTTCAGGACGTAACTCTTCAGAAACTGCTTTTTACTGATCATAAATCAGTGAATTGCAACGACTTCTTGGGAAGGACAGACGCTTCCATTACCCTTCTCTACAACCCGGTTTGGAATTTAGCGTAGCCCTTCTCCAAGACTGGTCGCCATCCAAAGCTATTGAGCCAATGTCTACTCTGCAGTTTAGCCTATACCTGGGGTCGTGAGAAGAGTTGTATCCATGTCATTCTCAATGGCATTTGTGCGAAAGTGAACGCAACAGACTAGGCCGGAATTTGAACCTGGTGTGCAGATTACCCTTTGCGCGCTGACAACAGTTACACTACACGCTATTCATGTTAACGCGATCTAAGCAATAGTAAAACGCTAATCTTGCGTGTATGTATGTACGTATATTTAGCTGGTGATGGTCAACTTAAAAAAGTTGGAGGTGGCTACACTTTTTCTAGAAGTGAAAGTGCACTGAGGAGGAAGAGTAACTGCTGTGGGTTTTGCTGTACATAGCACACTTGTGCTAAGGCTTGCTGGACTTCTTAAAGGAGTCAGTAAACGTTTAATGACCCTTCGCCTACATCTCAATGAATCAAGATACGCTACAATCATTAGGAGCCCACGCTCCAACAATAGACCGTATAGATATTTTAACGGCTCAATTCTTTGAGTCCTTGAGAGGTATATTATACATGATTCCAAAAGATGACAAGATTGTCCTCCTTGGTGACTTCACCGCTCGAGTTGGTGTGGAATGAAAGACCTGGAGTAGTTTTGGAAAATATGGCGTCGGTAAAATCAACACCAATGGTTTAATTCTTCTCAAACTTTGAACTGAGTTTAATCTTTTTATCTCCAGCACTCAATGCAAGCATAGGGATGATCATGTTACTACGTGGATACATACCCGTTCCCGCCAGTGGCATCTCATTGATTATGTCATCGTCCGCAAGAGTCCATATTGTTAGATCGATGCGCAGTGTGGATTGTTGGACTGATCCTGCCGTAGTGAGGGTCAAGATGAATTTTGTTCTTAAACCAGCAACTAGGCAAAACATTGGAATACCTCTTGCGCGTCTGAATGTCGTGAAACTTCACTCCCTGGAAACGCACGAGACATCAAATCAACGACTTGCTGAAATCAATGATACATCTTCATGGGACTCCTTGGGGAAGAATATATATATATATGAAGCGGCTGAGGAAGATTTGGGTAAAATGCCAGAAAAAACATCGAGATTGGTTTGATAAAAATGAAGATGCTATCAAGAAGATCGTTTCTAGAAAGAATCAGATACGAAGTTCTGTGTGTAAAAGGCCTGTAAAGAACATCACAGTTAACACTGCAAAAGCAGAAGCTCAACGCCCTCTTCGATCTATGCAGGAAAATGGTGGTTAGAGCTAGCAGGTGAAATACAGAATGCAATGAATTCATATAATACAAAGCAGATGTACTGCTTAATGAAACATGTATTTGGCCCCAGATCCACCAAAATCGCTCCTCTCAGAACAGAGGATCACAATAATTTCCTCACAGACATGGATGGCCTGGCCAAGAGATGGGAGAAACACTTTGTTGGGATACTGTACAAGCGTTCAAATGTGGGCCCTGAGGGTCTCGAGAAAATACCCCAAAGATCTATAGTGGTAGAACTTGACAGCTAACCATCGCTGGGCAAGGTTCTGCGTGGTATGGAGGGACTCAAAATGGATAGGGCTGTTTGGGTTGACGGCTTTCTTGCTGAGATATTTCGTTACTGTGGAATAATTTTAATTCAACTTATGCATGATCTTATTGTAAAGGTTTGAAGAGATGGAGACGTGGCAAAAGATTGGAGGGATGCAACAATGATACCTGGTAAGGGTAAATGTATCCGGGTATTATGTGGTAATTATAGAGGGACTACTTTCATTTCTTCGCCAGTTAAGATCTTAGCCTCTGTTCTCATATTAAGATTAAACCAATAGTTCACAGCATACGACCCGAGTCACAGTGTGATTTCCGCCAACACAGAGGGACTGAAGATATGATTTTCACAGCACGACAAATCCAGGAAAAGAGCTGTGAACAACAAATGGACCTTTATCAAATATTTGTAAATCTGAGGAAGGCTTTTGGCACTGTTAATGCTGCTGGTCTCTGGAAGATCGTCTCGAAATTGGGCTGTTACCCCCACTTTCTCAAGATTCTGAGTTTCTTTCGTGACGGTATGGAAGCCTGTGTCAGTTTTGGCGGAGTGCTTACGGAGCCCATCAAGGTTGAAAATGGAGTCAAGCAGGGAGAGATCTTCTGAATCCTACATTGTTTTCTATCTACTTTGCAATTGTACAGCTTGATGTGTTCGTAGACTGCCATGACGGTATTATGATAAGGTACAGGTCAACTGGCAAGCTTTTCAACATACGTAGGTTTGCGACTAGAACAAAAGTCTTTTTGAGTTTGGTGCGCAACTTTCTCTATGCCGATGACTTTGACCTGGTCACACACACAATTTAGCCCGCACAGGAGTTCATGGATCGACTATTAGGGTCATGTAAGGCTTTTAGACTATCCATCTACCTTGACAAGACAGTGGTGATGTATCAAACTGCCCGAGGAATTCAGTATATACAGCCATCAGTTTATGTTGACGTTAGTCGATTTGGGGTAGTTGACAAATATGTATACTTTGGTAGCATCCTCAACCGCCACTGCTCCCTTGACGATGAGATAGCGTCTCGGATTAAGAAGACCTCCGATGCATTTGCAGCACTCAAATCCATATCTGGAGTCAGAAGAGCTACAAAATGCGGACTGAAATTAAATAAATAATGTCTGCGTTAAATCATCTCTGCTATAATCATCTGAGACATGCGTAGACTATCGCAGACATCTGAAGATACTGGAACATTTTCATTAAGGCTGCCTTCGGTCTGTGCTTGAAATCCACTTGATGTCTCACACCTCTGATGCTGTTGTTCTACAAAGGACCAATTTACGTTCTGTGGAAGCAATTATGCACAAGCACAGCTTGCGATGGACAGGCTATGTTGTCCGTATGGCGAATGACAGAATTCCCAAACAAGTAATGTATGGATAATTGGAAATGGGGAAAAGACCACTGTACAAGCCAAAACTTTGTTACAAAGATTACCTTAAACAGTTACTATATAAGTACAATATTGTTCTGGATAACTGGGAAACTCTAGCTGAAGACCAGGTTTCTTGGAGAGCTGGTATTGCTGATGGCGTCAAGATCTTCCATGAGGCATCACAAAAATATGGAGAGAGGGGTTCGGAATGGATCCCTGAATTGCCATGATGTTCTACGGAGTGCGACTTTTAAGCTAGTTAATAATAAAATTGATAATAATGTTACCTCATCATTTTGTATCATTAATTACTGTAAAAAGAAACCCAACCGGTTTATGGTTGGTCCAGTAAAAGTTAAAATACACTAGAGTCATTCTTCTCTCAACATTAACTAAAATGTAACCATTTGATGGTTTAGACATAGTTTCATGTCTATGCTTGCCAGAAATAACTCTGAAGGCACTAACTATAGGCAGCTTCAAAGTATGTCGCTTTTTTTGTTGGTGATGTTTTAGTTATCGTCTGTTTGTATGAGAACCGTCAAAGGAAATTTGTTTTTGGTTTGGTTGGTTTGTTTTGTTTTACGGCATATCACCCTCAATGGGTTATTTAATGCCGACAAATTTTTATTGCTGGTAATATTTTCTTTCAAAATAAACTATGGTTGGTATATCTTTTTTTTTTCTAAAACTGTATCGCTGGTAATATTCTGGTATGTATGAAAACCTATTTTTACACTTTCATCGTGTTTTGACCCCAGTTTGGGTGTCAACTATTTGCCCATAGATGGGACCCTAACAGGTGCTACTACCCCGGGTCAGGGTAGACCTGGGAACATCAGCAAAAAAGAGGTGTCTCCTCAAAACCTCCTGATCAGACGCCTTGCTGCTGGATGTGGTTTATCGTCTTACCCAGGACGCGGATGTAGTTTACTCAGGACGGTAGAGGAATTTTGTAGAATATGGTGTCCAACATAAATATGC